CATCCCTAAGTATCCACCCACATCCCTAAGTATCCACTCTCATCCCTAAGTATCCACCCACATCCCTAAGTATCCACTTCCATCCCTAAGTATCCACTCTCATCCCTAAGTATCCACTCTCTTTCCCTCCACCTTATTTCCCATTAATCATTTCTAACACGCATCTGCTCGGGTCCTAGAAGGATTTCTGGGCTCACTCTAGCAGCGGGACTGCTTACAATGACCAAGGATTCATCTTTACCCGCTAACTCTTCCTTCTTCCTAGTTCTCCCTCCAAGCTCTCCGCAAAGACTAACCCTTCCTTCTACAGTCCTACCTTTCTTCTGCTCTTTTCTCCCAAAGGCCAAAGGACTGTGGCGGCTGAAGGAGGCCTCCAAGTTGGACTTTGCTTTGAGATAGGGTCTCACTCTGTAGCACAAGCCAATCTGCAATTCACAAGGTAGGCCAGGGTGGCTTTGAACTCGTGATGCGATCCTCCGGCCTAGCCTCCTGAGTTCTGGGTTTACAAGTACAAGGAGCCGCCATCCCCAGCCTGGAGTAGAATTTTAAGGATAAGTGTTGGCGGTTACCATGAGGTCAGAATGCAAATAATAATAATAATAATTATTATTATTATTATTAAATGGCGCAGCAAATGGAGATGAGAAGCAAAACTTGACACCAAAAAAATAAATGAGATCACCTTCCTCCCTCCATGCTTATGCCCCTCTTGATGAAATAATGGAAGAAAACATCAAAGTCAGGGCATCACTAGCCACTGGTTTTCAACTAATTTTACAAGAATTAAAGATGAGGAAGGGGGCAGTTGGCTAATTTCTAAGAAATCTATACACTCTATCCACCAAACAGTGTGGACCCAGGGAGTGCTTGAGTTTAGTGTTAGGACTTGTGTGGCCTTGGAAGGTGCCTGCCCTATTCTCTCCGGAGCGCGATAAAGGTCAGGATGGTGCTCTCACTTCGAAGATCTCTTTGAAATCTCCCGCCCCACTCTTGGGTTCTCACGTTGTCTGGAGCCACTGGTACCAGAGTCAGAGAAAAGACGTGGGTCGGCACCACACCGTCAGGACCAGATAGTCCTGGGGCAAGACACCTTACAAAGACCGACCCTGATTGTCAGAGTGACAAATCAGGGCTGGAAAAGTGGTACTCGGAAGGAATGGCGACACCAGCGCGCCTCCACTGGCCGCCGAGGGCAAGCAGAAGTGGTCACTCCAGAGCTGGGACACAAAGGACCGGTGTCACCTGATTGAGCCCGAGGGTCGAGAACTTTAGGTCAGGTTCACGACTATGTAAAAAATCGCTGCCAAGTGTGAATACGTATTTCTCCCGGAAGGCTCGGGGGAATCCGAGAGGGTACTGTTATTATTAATAAAAAGGTTTCATTTCGAAATTTCCCTGGGGGGAAAACCAGTGGAGCAATGTCTGGAGTTGTGCGGTGCCCAGAGCCCCTCCGCTAGGACACACAGGCTTCTCCTGTTAGGCTGCCCCTCACCCCGTCGCCAGAGAGCAGCTAGTCACAGCACAGGGAGGAAGCTTTGCTGCTTTAAACGGGACAAGAACCCTGAAACACACCTCAACACGATCTATAATTCAGTGCGCCCCCGGGACGTTCCAGGCGCTCCGGGGCGGCGCGCCTTAGCCCGCGTACCGCGCTGCACCTAGACCGTCTCACCGGGAAGGGACTCCTTCCATTTGCAGGCGGACTGGACAAGCTCAAAGTAGTTGGAACGGCTCACGCGGCGCCAGGGGAATAGTGGATGCCCCCGAGGCTCCGGCGCTTCCAAGTGAACACATCCGGGAGAGGCCAATTAGGGGAAAGAGAACTGGCCGCAGCAGCTTGGAGAAGGGGCCCGGCTCCCCAGGCATGGCCCGCCCCCAGGCGGCCTCCGGGAGAGGCTTGGATCCCAGGACCAGAGCAGGCTCCGTGCGCTCCCACCCCCGTGTCCCCACCCTAGACACTGGCAACAGCCCCCGCCTGCATGCACACACACACACACACACACACACACACACACACACACACACACACACACACACACACACGGGCGCGCGCGCGCTGCTGGGAAGCAGCAGCCGGCCACAGGAGGGCCAGCGCAGGGGAGGGCGCGGAGCCCGCTTCCAAAAGTCCCATCCCTTGTAAATGACCCGCTGGCGGCGAGTGCAGCCCGGGCAGAACCCGGAAAGGGGAGCCGTCCCAGGCGCCCGGCGAAGGCTGGGGAGGCGACAGTGGGCGAGGGCCCTTTAAGACTCTCCCCGCCCACCGGCGGCGCCCGCCTCCGCCCGCCGCTCTCCCCGCCCCGGGGTCCGGGAGAGAGCTGCGATTGGGCGGGCGCGGCGATCCCTTTGAAGTGTGGCTGCAGATCGCGGCTATTTGACGTGCAGCTCGCGGAAGGCGAAGGTTTTTGTGTTGCTCGCCTGGGCTAGCGGCGGCGGTGGCGGCGGCGGCGGCGGCAGCGGCGGCGGCTGGAGGTGGAGGAGGGGAGGCGGCACCGAGGCGCAGCGACTGCTGCACGGCGTTCGACGCAGCGGAGCGAGCCCACCCGCCCCGGGAGCTCGCCTCCCGGAGCTTCCCCTCCCTCCCCGCCCCCCCAGTGGCGCTGCCTCCTCCAAATGAGCGATTCGCCCGCTGGATCTAACCCAAGGACACCCGAAAGCAGCAGCAGCGGCGGCAGCGGCAGCGGCGGCAGCGGCGGCGGCGGGAAGAGGCCGGCGGTGCCGGCGGTGGTGTCCCTCCTGCCCCCGGCGGACCCCCTGCGCCAGGCGAACCGGCTTCCGATCAGGGTTCTGAAGATGCTGAGCGCTCACACCGGTCACCTCCTGCACCCGGAGTACCTGCAGCCGCTGTCCTCCACTCCCGTCAGCCCCATTGAGGTCAGTCTCCGGGGCGCTGCCCACCCAGAGCTGAACCCATTCCGCCACCCATGCTGGGCCCGTGGCCCTGCTGCTCCCTGCCCCCCCCACACCCCCCATAGCTCATGCGACGCGACTCTCGAGGCTGGCCACGCTGGCGGAGCTCATGAGGAGGGACGAAAGGCAGGAATCTGACCCCTCTAGGTTCTCCCTAGACTCCCGGGTGGAAGGGTTTTTTACCCGCTCGCCCTCCGGAGCTGCGTGTTTTCTGTCGGACTGGATTTGCTCTTGTGGTGCCCAGAGTCCTTTACTTTCCCTTCTGGGCCCCCAGTGTCCTGTCCAAAGACGACGGCTCCTGGGCCTCCCTGGCCTCCACCCCGACCTGTTCTCTTGGAAACCGCCCGGGTTCCCCTGCATCCTCCCCGGCCTGGTGGGGCACACTGCAGAAAACCCAGGCACTCGAGATCCCGGGTCTTTCTTCATCCCACTTCTCTGGGTGTCCTCTCCCCGGGAAGGAGGGAGGGAGGGAAGGAGGGAGGGAAGGAGAGAGGGAGGGGCTACTCCCAGGGCCAACTGCAGCTCTGCCTTTAGAAGGCGCCTCTCCCCGGCTCCTACCCCGAGCGCCATCACCAGAAACCCGTCCCAAACGAAGTTCTCCCAAACTAAAGGCTTAAGTTTTTCCCCGGGCCAAGAAGAGGGGGGGATTCCTTGGAAAGGGGCGAATCACCACCCCGATTCCGCAGAAGTCACCTTTAACCAGGAGGGCGGGTGCTGAACCGTTTCTCCGGCGCGCCCGCGCCCATGACACACTCAGGGACTACTAACCCACGACGCCAGTGCCATTCTGCCCAGCCGCTCCTCCAGAGCCAGGCCTTCTTCTCGGGGACCCTCTTGGCTAGGCCCCCGTCGCGCGGCCAGGGCCCTGCTTTACGTCCCCGCGCGCTCAGTGGGTCTCCTGATCCTCACCCCCTTCTTCTCCCTCCCCTTTGCCACTGTCTCCCGCAGCTGGACGCCAAGAAGAGTCCGCTGGCCCTGCTAGCCCAGACCTGCTCGCAGATCGGCAAACCCGACCCGCCGCCCTCGTCCAAGCTCAACTCGGTAGCCGCAGCCGCCAACGGGCTGGGATCCGAGAAGGACCCGGGCCGCTCCGCCCCCGGCACCGCCTCCGCGGCCACCGCGCTCAAGCAGCTGGGGGACTCCCCCGCCGAGGACAAGTCCAGCTTCAAGCCCTACTCCAAGGGCTCCGGCGGCGGCGGCGGCGGCGACTCCCGCAAAGACAGCGGCTCCTCGTCCGTGTCCTCCACCTCCTCTTCGTCCTCCTCGTCCCCCGGAGACAAGGCGGGCTTCAGGGTCCCCAGCGCCACCTGCCCTCCCTTTCCCCCGCATGGAGCGCCGGTCTCCACCTCCTCCAACTCGTCTTCACCCGGAGGCTCCCGCGGAGGTTCCCCGCACCACCCAGACTGCAAGAACGGTGGCGGGGCCGGCGGCGGCGGCGGCGGAGACCTGGACAAGAAAGACCAGGAAGCCAAACCCAGTCCGGAGCCAGCCGCTGGGAGCCGAGGCAGCGGCGGCGGGGACTCGGCTCACGGTGGCCCGGAGGCCGCGGCCTCGGGGCGCAAGTCGGAGCCGCCCTCTGCTCTGGTGGGGGCTGGCCACGTGGCTCCAGTGTCACCCTACAAACCGGGCCACTCGGTGTTCCCGCTACCGCCCTCCAGCATCGGTTACCACGGCTCGATCGTGGGCGCCTACGCCGGCTACCCGTCTCAGTTCGTGCCTGGCCTGGATCCTAGCAAGTCTGGCTTAGTGGGAGGCCAGCTGTCCGGGGGCCTGGGCCTGCCACCGGGCAAGCCCCCCAGCTCCAGCC